GCGACCCCCACACCTGTGTGAGAACTAACTCAGGAGGGCTGGAGTGTGCTTGCTTTGCCAGGCGAGCTGCCCTGTCATCAGTCATGCCAAGAAGCACGCTCCTCCTCTCCATCGTACCGGTGTGAATGTCCCTGAGCTGATTTATCACCAGGCCCTCATCTCTTTCAGCCTCTGCCAAAAGCCCGGGCTGGAACCCTCTCAGACTCGGCCCCACGTGTCCAGCGGGCAGATGTCTGGCCGCCTGTTTCCTGTAACGCTCGTTAGGACCCGGGTACCTTGGGCTCCGGCTTCCCCGTCATGGTCTTGAGCAGCTCGTGGAGGTGGGGCCAGTTGCCCTGGGAGTACCAGCCGGGCTTGTCCAGGGATGGCAGGCCCTCGCTCTCCTCCACGTCATTCACTGGGAAACACAAACATTTACGTATATGAATCTAGCAGACGCTTTTATCCGAAGCCACTTCCTAAAAGAGGGTTTAACATTCAGCTCCAACACCAGCTCCACTCTTAGCTTACCTCGGGTGCAATATGCTAGAAGAGGGTTTAACATTAAGGGTTTAACATTCAACTATGACATAGATTATACAGGTACCAGACATTGGTGCTACATGCTATCAGGATAAGAGACTTTAGAGCTTTAGGACCAGAGGTGGAAGATCTTCAGGGTTTCTGGAAGGATGCCACAGTTTGGTGGAAGGGAACGCCACAGCTAGAGCAGATAAACCACATCCACACCCAAGCCCTACAGCCGCACCCCCCCACAGGCCCACCAGGAAACCCCGGCTAGACAGGGACACTTAAAGCCGTCTGCTCCATGCATGGGACCAGCGTTTATCAGAGTAATCACAATCAGAAATCACGTTATCGGCCAAATATTCAACGTACACAGGAAGTTAAACTGGTGTCCTAGCACCACAGGAAGATTTAGAAAACAAATTTGAAATAACAAAGACGTAAATAATAGATAAGTACAATTCTGAAGTGACAGTTACTTGTTCAGAAGTATCTAGAGGATGGCAGGAAAAGAAAATAATATATGATGATCAGGTGTTCTTTAGTTGACTGAGCCTTAATGTGTCTGTAGAAGTGGCTCAGATGCCCCTATTTCAGAGGGAGGTGGCCTGGGGGGGGGACTGTTCAGGGGCCTGGTGGTTTTGGTCCTGATGGACCTGACCCTGCATGTGCTGAAGGTTTGGAGAAGACTGATAAAAAGTTTTTAAAAAACCCAGTGAGAGAAACATAGAGTATAGGAGCAGAGCTCCAGGATTTGGTGAAAAGGATTTGGAAGGATGAGGCTAGTTCCCCCCCCCCCAGCCTCTGGAAATGGTTCCTTTGGGATCATTTGAAGGAACCAGACACAAACTGTTTGCGGAAATAGCACCCAGGAATGTGAAGTGGTGCTAGAAGAGGCTGGTCCAGACACGTCCACAGGGACTCCTCACCTTCTAGACCGAAACAGTCTGAACTCCAACAGGCTCTGTGTAAACGTGTCCTCCGTGGGTACGGCAGATTGTGCAAGTGAAAAGTGAGAGCAGCTCGGTCTGAATGGCTTCACACTGAATCCTGATTCCACTCCAAACAAGGGGATCTGTTAACGTCATTTGTGGATCCGGTGGTGTTTGTTAACAGCTCATAAACAGACTCGTGCTACTGTCACTCTGGGAAAGTT